GGAAGTGTGGGACAGCCATGCTTCGGCACAAATGTGGGTCGGCTTGACCGGAATGATACCACGGTCTCACAGAAAACCTGCTTAAAACACCCACAGCGTTGTGTTTCGACGTGTGAGTGAGGTTACCGGAGGCCCAATACTTCCCCAATCCCTAAATCTATAAAACCCCAATTCCTAAATCTCAAAAACTCTAATACCTAAAAGGTCGGTAACACACTCGTAACTCCTCCGTGCAGGTGTCCATGGGCGGCGCTGATTGCTTACCATCAGGTAATACGTCAGCTAGATTGCCGACCTACATGACACACACTTAGTGACACCTTGTGCTATCACCATCATTATCATCATCATCAGCCGGAAGACGTCCACTGCTGAACAAAGGCCTCCCTCTTAGCCCTCCACGTCACACAACTCGCCACCTGCATCCATTGGATCCCCGCGACTGTGATCATGTCATCGGGCCTGTCCACGCTACGTTTTTCGATCCGTAGTCATATATGCTGTACTTCCATCATCAGCCTTTAAGTGCCCACTGCTGAGCAAAGGCCTCTTCTCACACGGAGAAGGTTTGAGCATTAATCACCACGCTTGCTCAAGTCCGATTGGTGATTTCAAACTTAAAATTAGAAATTATATGTCCAGGTTTCCCCACGATGTTTTCCTTCACCGTATGTCAGTGGTGTCTAAATAATCGTAGATTCACAAAAAATGTCAACAGAAAATGTCTCATTGGTATTTGCCAGGTTTCGAAACCGCACCCTCATGCATGAGAAGCGGGCGCCTTAACCTCCAGACGACAACTTAACGTAAAATTGACAAGAAATAAAACATTGATTAATGTGAAAGTGATTATTCGATGCTAGCAATTATCGATTACGAAGTTGTAATCGATTCGTTTAGTATCGCTTATAAATAATTCACATCCTGCATAGCTTCCGTTGTAGGTACTACTATATACATGGTGATATAATATTATTAGGTCAGAAACTAGGCGAGGTTCTTTAATAAAGTATTTTTTATATGATTCGATGGCAGACAAGCTGATTAATTACCTGATGGCAAGCAATCAGCGCCGCCCATGGACACACTAGAGAGACGGAATTGCAGGTGAGTTGCTGATCTTTTGACGGGGTGTTGCGGATTTAGGGACTGGGGGAGGGGAAGGATTTGGCCTCCAGTAACCTCACTTACACGGTGAAACACAAGGCGTTGGTCTTGTCACGCCGGTTTTTTGTGAAACTGTGGTATTACTCCGGTCTAGCCGGCACTTTCGTGCCAAAGCGTGGCTGAATGGTGAGACACTTAATTAATAATGATGACGATAATTATCAAATACGGTCGTATCGTGTCGGTCGTGTCGTGTCGGTCGTGTCGTGTCAGTCGTGTCGGTCGTATCGGTCGTGTCTGTCGTATCAGTTATGTTCGTGTCTGCCGTTGCCGTCGGTCTTGTCCGTAGGTTGTTCCGGTCGTGCGGGTCGTTTTTTTTTGTAAGGGGAAAATCATCTAATGACTTTTCCCGCCCAGGGCCGGGCGGGAGGGAGTGTCAGACTCTTACTGACTAAAAACCGTCCTGTTCCTTCGCCTGCTCTGGGCCGAGGTTGCGGTGCCTCATTGCGCTTACCCCGCAACCCCAGCTGAACATCAGCCCTATAGGGCGTTGTATCGGTTGAATCGATCGTGTTGGTGGAATGCCAGCCAAGCGCATGGCTGATCCACCCGAGCGAAGCAGGGGTGCGTCGGTCGTGTCTGTCGTGTCAAGTCGGCAGTGTCAGTCGTATCGGTCGCGCCAGTCGTCTCTGTCATGTCAGTCGTGTCGGTCTTGTCGGTCGTGTCGTATCGGCAGTGTCAGTCGTGTTAGTCGCGTCTGTTGTCTCTGTCATGTCAGTCGTCTCGGCCTTGTCGGTCGTATCGTTCGTGTCGTGTCGGTCGTGTCAGTCGTATCGATCGCTTCGGTCGTGTCGGGTCGTGTTGGGTGTTGGTTGTGTCGTTGCAGTCGTGTCGGCGTGTTGGTCGTATCGTGTCTTGTTTGTTGTGGCTATCGTGTCGTGTCGGTTGTGGCAATCGTGTCGTGTCGGTTGAGCCGATCGTGTCATGTCCGTTATAGGTCGTGTCGATCGTGTCACATCCGTCGTGCCGATCGTGTCATATCCGTCATATCGGTTGGGTCGTGTCGTGTCGATAATGTCATGTCCGTCGTATCGGCAGTGTCCTGAAATTTAACCTTTCTCATGACTTTTTGTTTGACATAAGACCTAGTCGTTTGATATAGGTACCTAAAGACACAATCTTTCTCAATCTTTGACATTGACATTTTACTTTGAATTTGACATTTGTTTTGAATTTGACATTGACATTTGCTTTGACTTTGATATTTTGCTTTGACTATAGCATTTTACTACGGTATTCCAAATTGTGATCTATTATGAGCAAACCAGTGTAAGAACTTATTTATTTCTGGCGTACTATCAATCAGAGTCACCATTAGTACGTGTTTTGTCATTTCGTATGCTTAATACTCAATACTCAATACTCAATACTTTATTGCTTTCCACATGTATTCTTAGGTGGTAGTACTTATAAATAGTTCATATGGACCCTGTCGGGCACAGCAAAGTAAGTGGGATAGGAGAGAGGAAGCTCTTATCGGCTATGTTACTTATTATTGTTGACTAATGCCCGTTTTCACCAACAGCCCCTAAACAGTCACCTTACTAAGGGCCACTTAACTTAGGGGACCGTTCAAATCATCCCTTAACCTAAATTTTGTTTCACTGTCCTAAGTGTCACCTAACTAAGAGCCCCCTAATTAGGTGACGTTTAGTGTTGAGGAACTATGCAAACAGTTATCGATAAATGAATCGATTAGACAATTCTATTGTTATTTTCGTAAATACAACAACCTTAAAACAAGTAATTAACTTTTCTAACTTCAATTTATTTCGAAAAGAAGAGTCTTGAACTGGTGAATGTTAGATTAGTAACAAAAAGTTGTGTTTTTATTTTTTGGCTGTATGTTGAATGCCATAGCTTACAAAGACGCGGTGCCGGTGACATTTTGATGCCACTATCCAGTGACAGTTTCATTTCAATCATTTCGTGTATTTTCAAAAAATACCAAATTTTTATTAATTACAATGGCAGAAAAGAGGAAACGTGGTCAAAATTTTTCACTTGAAGATAAAGAATGTTGTTTATCCTGGCTAGCGTGTCACCACATCAGTTATTAATAATTTTGCAGTACTTATTGTTTGCATACTAATAGACATACTGCTTTTTCTATTCCGGAATAGTTCGGCATCATCTCCTCCTATAATTTATCACATAAATAAATGTAAACAAGTTTCTAGTTAATACAATCAAAAGACTTTTGAATATCATTATTAGAGACATCATAGAAAGACGATAGGTGTGCGAACGACGGTGTTCGCTGGAGGCTCAATAAATATGACACAAAGATCTGCCGTATCTGTATGTGTGCGTGTCTATCCATCTTATTAAATCATGTATTATTTCATAGGAGATTCAGTAATAAATGGTTACTCGTAAGGACCTGTGTTTCTCTAAACGCCCAACCTTATAATTGAATTTTTATGTATGTACAGTCTATACATCCTAAAACATTTGGAAATCGAGCTATTCTGTAAAATTCTTCTTTTACTATTTGTTGTTTTTCTTCGGTGTCTGGAAATTGTATGAATTCGCTTTGCCACGACCCACGATAGCGTCAGACACTCTTTTTATAATTCTACTGCAAGTAGATACACTGATGGGATTGAGATCTGCTACAGATAATAATTGATTGCCTGTTGCATAAAATCTAAGGGCACACAGTAATTGGTTAATCGGTGCCAGAGATTTATTTCTTTAAATACAAGTAAGGTTGAGCAGGGAACCTGTATCTTATGAAAAAGTCTTTTTCATCATATTTTTCAAAATCTTTCGATCTTTCACGATAAATACGAGGTCGTCTAAGATACAAATGTCGGTTACTTAACAATTCCATATCTTCAATTGCTTAAAATCTTCAAATAAATAGTGGTTATTATCAATTTTTATTATTTTTTATCTTATTCAGTAGGATAAAATACTGTTTGGTGATTCGCAAAACAACCTAACACTATGTGTCACTTAAACGTTACGGGGTCGTCAATTCATCCCCTAAATTATAAGGAACCCCTAATGATATAGGTGACACTTAAACGTTGGTGAAAACAAAACTCGCGATAAGTGTCCCTTATATTGGCTTAAGGGACACTTAAATTTTAGGGGCTGTTGGTGAAAACGGGCATAAGACTAAGGTTATATAGGCAAGTAAGTTATGTATATTTATGTTTAATTTTTTTTTTTTTATTATTTATTGATACACTTAATCTACACTGTAAGTGTGTGTGTGGTGTGTGTGTGTGTGTGTGTGTGTGTGTGGTGTGTGTGTGTGTGTGTGTGTGTGTGTGTGTGTGTGTGTGTGTGCTTAGTAGAAGAGGCTTAACTTAGAAAGAAGGTATTTGAATTCTGAATATTATGTTTAAATCATAAGGTTCAATTTAGAAATACCCTCCTTTATGAGTTAGAGTTTTCTATTAAACATTGTCTTTTCTTTTTCTGTTTTCGGGACTTTTTCATTTCATAATGGGCAGGCATTTGACCGCTATCACGCCTGGGGATAAGCGGTGATGCGACCTACGATGGAGCACGTCTACCCATAAGCAACCTATTCACTCGGACCTTGAAGACACTCAGGTTATACCCTTCGGGGAACACAGACTCCGTCAAAGAATTACACTCCTGGTTGATATTAAAATTAAAACGAATATATTATTAAAACTGTTCTTTATTTATCGATTTAATCGTTACATTTTACAAAAATATCAACAATTGTTACATCTTACATTAATAACATTGGATTTACATAAGGTACTTGCCACGGCCAGCCGTTGGATGGGTGACCGGCTTAACAAAAACGTTAAACGTTTATACCTTGATCGAAATTATTGAATAGTTGAGTTTTTTTTAAACGTTGCCCCACATTACGATTTTCTCCTGTGTCGTGGGTTTCCAAACATACAATTCCACATGCACATGACACCCAGACCCGGAACAACAATTTGTGGATCACACAAAGAGTTGTTCCGTGCGGTAATCGAACCCGCGACACGTTGCGCGGCAGTCAATTGCCCAGCCACCGCATCAACCGTGCAGTGATATATTAACTGCATCACAGTTCCAGGTCTGGGATTTAATTTTGAGAGAAGAAAATCATCACCTGACTTCTCCCGTCCAGGGCGGGAGGGACAGCAGAAAAGTTGCTGCAAGAAAACTGTTTTCTGTTTTTTTTGCTAATTCAAATAATCAGACACCCAAGGAGTCATATCTTGTGTATATTTCACTGGTGGAAGATCGTATGGTATAACTAGACGGTGTCTTGCATTCTGCTGAAGAGGGAAATAATCTTCTTTTATCTGTAATGAGAATTAAATTGAGTTGGTATGTTAAAATAAGGTCATACTTACGTGAATTAAAGTTTTACGAATTTAAAGTCATAGGTAGGCCAACGAGCAGACGGATTACCTGATGGCAAGCAATCAGCGCCGCCCATAGACACCCGCAACAACAGAGGAGTTAAGAGCGCATTGCCGACCTTTTGGGAGTAGGGATTTGGAGATTTAAGGATTGGGGGAGGGGAAGGATTGAGCATCCGGTAACCTCACTCACACGGCGAAACACAACGCTGTGGTTGTTTCATGTTGGTTATGTGTGAGGCCGAGGTATCACTCCGGTCGAGCCGACCCATTCGTGCCGAAGCATGGCTCTCCCACACTTGAAGCTACTCTTATTGATGAGCAGCTTGCGCGTCACGGCATATCTCGTAGAGCTTTTCTCAGTTAAATTCTTATGATAGATACAATTTAGAAATATTAAGTGTGCAAAAGCCGTGCTTCGGTACGAATTGGTCGTCTCATCCGGAGAGACCACGGCCTCACAGAAAACCGGCATGGAACAACCACAGCGTTGTGTTTCGCCGAGTGAGTGAGGTTACCGGAGGCTCAATCCTTCTTCTCCCACAATCCTAAACCCCCAAAAGGTCGGCAACGCACTCGTAACTCCTCCGTTGTGGCGCTGAATGCTTACCATCAGGTAATCCGTTTACTCCTTTGACGACCTATCACATAAAAAATGATCGAACTAATTTAGAGATGGGTAGTAACAGGTGAAACACGATATCTGTTATCACCGTTACATAAAAATAACAGATCTAAATATCTGTTATTAAATAACAGCCTGTTATTTTTGAACAATTTCAATTGAATATATTCTTTCTTAATTTCGATTTAACGTTGGAAATCGAATAAATAATAAGTAACAATTCCATATGTCGAAATAAATAATAGGTGTGTCTCTTTTTAGCAAAAGTCGATCTTTAATGAGGAAAAGAGAAAATGAATATTAACATGTATGTAACGAAGTACTCGAATGTGTGTAAGGACTGATACAATGAATATCAGTAATAACCCCAGTATCAGTGCCGTTTGCCTGTTATTAAAATAACAGATGATATAAGTTGGTAGGAACAACAGATATTTACAAATACCAAGTAGCAACTTGGTATTTGTAAATATCTGTTACTTTTATCTGTTACGATAAATATGCCTCACTCCTACTAATTATTTTGTTATAGAAACTGAAAACCTTTGCTCAGTACTTTTCTCCAGTTATAGACATTATTATCGAAAAAAAAAATCACTTACCACGAATTGAGGCAAAAACAAGACGCCAGCTTCATAACTCATGATCCTTAGGGCTCCATTTCCTTTGTTCACCTGTCCCCAAGCCGCCTTACTGATATTTGCCGACGTTAGGAGGTAAAACGCGGCTTTACCATTATGGAATCGCGTATACGACTTTATATGCGGCATAGCGCGATTCCTGCACGTCGATTTAGCTTGCCACTGGCTGCAAAATAGAAAAAAAATGCTAACTTTAAAACTTTTTATTAAGTATAACTTTCGTGAGACATTCGTAATTAATTATTATGTTTTCGGCTTACTCACGTAATAATTTGACGCGATACTCGACTAGTTTCAAGCCATTCTAGAGGCTCATATTCATGAGCAGCATTCCGCGACACGCGACTCGGCGACAGTACAGTCGCTTGGCTTGAAACTAGTCGAGTATGTCGTCAAATTATTACGTGAGTAAGCCGAAAACATAATGATTAACTTTGAAAACTATCGCGTTTCATAATTACAACTTATAATTTATGCGGGTATTAACGCGAAAAGTATTAATTGAAATACCTTGATAGGGTTGACGTTTCGACCTGGTTACACAGGTCGTGGTCACAAGCTGACTGAAGATGCTATGAGCAGACGGATTACCTGATGGTAAGCAATCAGCGTCGCCCATAGACACCCGCAACGGAGGAGTTACGAGTGCGTTGCCGACCTTTTAGGGATTAGGGATTTGGAGATTTAGGGATTGGGCAAGGGTCCGGGAAGGGGAAAGATTGGGCCTCCGGTAACCTCACAAACAACACAACTCTGTGGTTGTTTCACGCCGATTTTCTGTGAGGCCGTGGTATCACTCCGGTCGAGCCGACCCATTCGAGCTCCTTGAATTCGGACGATGTATCTTCATGCCAATTAAGCCAAAACGTCAAGCCTACCAAGGTATTTCAATTAATACTTTTCGCGTTAATACCCACGTAATTATATTATGTTTTAAAAAAATGTAGTCGAAAAATAAGCAAACGGACCACCTCGGGATAGGCAATCGTCCCAAATGGGTCGGTTAGACCGGAGTGATACCACGGCCTCATAGAACACCGGCGTGAAACAACCACAGCGTTGTGTGAGTCGCCCAATCCTTCCCCACTCCCAATTCCCTAAATCTCCAAATCCCTAATCACCAAAAGGTCGGCGACGCACTTGTAATACCTCTGTTGCGAGTGTCCATGGGCGGCGCTGATTGCTTACCATCAGGTAATCCGAATGCTCATTAGCCGTACTATCCCATAAACAATTCGGTACACTTGAGTTACTAATAATACCAGGAACTGTCTTTTCTGATTTAATAACGTGGGTGACTCAAGAATTGGCTAGTTTTCAAGGTCAAAAATAAATTAATTCAACGTTTTAATTCAATAAAGGGTTGAAAAACAACTATAGGTAAGTACTTTTATAAATCTGTCGATGCACTATAGTAAACATATTTTCGATATTTTTTAGCTATGTTTTAAAGAAATAAGTGCTTAAGCTATTTGACGCTAAAATACTATGACGTCATATATGTTTAGTTTCATATAAATTTCATAGAAAAGTTAAAGTAATTGTACACATTTGGATAACAGTATTAAATTTGATTAGTTAAAAACTACCTTAGGTATTGGTTTAAACTCAGCTATGATGAGTCCGCCAAGGGTAATAATAATAATAATTTGTGAAAGCTTAAAAAGATAAAGCAAGTAAATATCTTGACTGCACGGCTGGTGCGGTGGCTGAGCAACTGGCTGCCGTGCAACGTGTCGCGGATTCGATTCCCGCACGGAACCACTCTGTGTGATCCACAAATTGTTATTCAGGGTCTGGGTGTCATGTGTATGTGAAATTGTATGTTTGTAACGCACCCACGACACAGGAGAAAATCCTAATGTGGAGCAAGGTTTTTAAAAAAAAAAGAAAAAAGAAAAGATATCTTGATTTAGCTCATGAGATTGTCGACATACGGGATGTAGACTCAGCAATCATTGTGCCGATAGTCGTGTCTGCTAATGGTCTCATGGCTGAAAGCCTTGATAGACACCTAAGCAGGCTTACGTTAGATGGTTGGGTCAAGAATCTGATGCAGAAAGCTGTACTTCTAGACACGGCGCGCATTGTCCGGAGATTCCTTTCTCTGGAGCCCTGACCACCGGTTGCTTGGAACCTCCCGTAACCGATAGGATACTGCTTTTTATATTTTTAAGTGATTTTCTTTTTTTTTTGTTTCGTGAAAATATTGATAAATGTAAAAATGTGTCGAGTATAGGTTTGATTGCGTGGCATGTTTTTTCCGTTTTTTGCATGTGGGCGGGAGGTTGGGACCTTTGCTGCATGTGCATATGCATGATTGCATAGGAGTGGGATTGCATCCTGCAACAAGCCTGGATTTTCGTCGCGGAATTAAAACTAAATATTGTTCCTAATATTTAATGTCATGGATTTCCACAAAATAACGCCTAATTCTATAAATTATGTTAAAATCAAGTTTAAAAATAAATAATAATTTATTAATGCTAAGGATACTTACTACAAAAAGCTATTCAACCATGGCTGCTTGGCATGCGCATCCCCCGCGTACGGCAGACATCCCCCACCGAGAAGGTTGTCGTGCGACTGGCGGACATTCTCTGCGAATATCACGAAACGACTTTGACATTTGACATTGATAGTTTGCTAGAACTTTGACATTGACATTATACTTTGAAATTTAACTTTGACTATCACTTTGACATTTAACTTTGACTTTCACTTTGACATTTAACTTTGACTTTCACTTTGACATTTAACTTTTACTTTCACTTTGACATTCAATTTGCTTTACTTTCACTTAGATATTAACAGTTTGCTTAGATTTCGACGTCGGTATTTTATTTCGACTGACATTTGAATTTGACTTTGACGTTGATATTGAACTTTTACTTCGACACTCAACTGTGACTTTCGCTTTGACATTGTACATAGTTTTGCTTAGAACTTCACTTTGATAATTATCAAGTTGCATTTACTTAGATATAATATAAATAATAATTTAATACATATTTTACTTCGACTGACATTTTACTTTGAAATTTGGTATTGGGTCGGCTCGACCGGAGTGATACCACGGCCTCACAGAAAATCGGCGTGAAATAACCACTGCGTTGTGTTTCGCCGTGTGAGTGAGGTTACCGGAGGCCCAATCCTTCCCCTTCCCCAATCCCTAAACCTCCAAATCCCTAATCCCTAAAAGGTCGGCAACGCACTCGTAACTCCTCCGTTGCGAGTGTCCATGGGCGGCGCTAATTGCTTACCATCAGGTAATCCGCCAGCACGTTTGCCGACCTATTACATAAAAAAAAAAACCTACTTAAAACTTTTACATGACTATTTTTCAATTTATTTTTGCAATTTCACATTTCGTTTTTGACATAAGACCTTGCCATTTGACATACCTAAAGACGGGTACACTATCCTCAATTCCGGCGGTGTTGATAACAATTGCGACTGATTCTTGATCTTTGTGAAATTGTGCAGGAAGTCTCCGGTCAACCATAGCTGTAAGCAAATAGCGAACATTTTACGTAACGAAACCTCGCACTTATTATACTTCTAAAGTCCGGTCGCGGAGCAGGAAGAAATTCGTACAATGACCTCTTTACCTACTGACAGTGGTTACAAACATTTTAGTATAAAGTGCAGTTTATAATATTTGAAGGAGAAAAAAAATACTAGCTTATTAAATAAATTATTTCTTTATTGTTAATTTTAATAACAAAAGAGAAAGAGAACTAACAAATAACAACAAACTAAGAGCGATCACTAACGCATCCCGAGATGGAATGTCGTTCGTTAAAAAATTATGAATTATGTCAAGTAAGCCATGTCATGACTCAAGGCCAACCAAAAACTACAACCACAAACAAACAAAAACCGACCTTACATTAGTAGGTTAAAGCTTCACAATCGCTGAGTGCCGCGGTCATTGGATTTGTGCGAGCGAGACGCATCATATTTACGCGAGAGTGACAGAGACAGGTAATAACAGGCCATTGTACGAATTTCTTCCTGCTCCGCGACCGGACTTTATTGTGTCTCGAATTACCACGATTGAAACGTTGATAGCTGTGTAGCTATCAACCTATAAGGTCTTTAATAAAAGGAAAAGTGTCTTTGTATTTGTTTGCGTTGCAATTTTTGAGGCACGCTTCGGCATTGCATTCCAAATCCCAATTACCAAAAGGCCGGCAACGCACTTGTAAGTCGTTTAATGTTGCGAGTGTGTATATGCGCCGCTGATTGCTTACCATCAGGTCATAGTATAAAGAGAAGCGAAGTAACGCGGTTTGTATGTATGCGCCATAGTATCTAGGCGTCGACGCACGCACACTGTAACAAAATCTCGACCCGTTTCTCAGTGCGCCAGTCGGGGCTAACACTGCACGGGGTTCGCACGTCATTTTTTTTCGGCACCGCTAAATCAAAACAAGTCTGATAATCGCAGAACGTATTGCTGTGTGTTTAGGTGTCTTAACAATATGGTCCTTTATGTGCAAAAATACTACATTAGGCCTAAAAAAAATACAATGAGAAAATAATGTTAACACTAGCTCTTAGTCTATGTTACCGCCTGTGCCATCTACCGAAACGCACATAAAAAGTCATCATCATCATCATCATCATCAGCCTATAAGTGCCCACTGCTGAGCAAAGGCCTCTTCTCACACAGAGAAGGTTCGAGCATTAATCACCACGCTTGCTCAAAGCGGGTTGGCGATTTCAGACTTATAATTATAAATTATAAGTCCAGGTTTCCCAACGATTTTTACCTTCACCGTATGTCAGTGGTGTCTAAATATTCATAGAAAGTACATATAGATAACTTGCATAAAGTGACATTGGTACTTGCCAGGTTTCGAACCCACACCCTCGTGCATGAGAAGCGGGCGCCTTAAACACACATTACATAAAGAGTCACACCTCACAAACTCTGTATCCAGACAATACAAGTAAAAAATACAACTTCCCGAACCTTGCCAATTTTGTAGGCACTGAATTAAATTTTTACTTAAAGTGACAACCCTAAGACAGTTGGCAATTATATCGCGGATTGGGCCAGTACTACCCTTCTCTTTATACAATGATCAGGTAGTCCGTCTGCTTGTTCAAAGGTATCCCAAACAAAAACAAAAAGCTGATCGTACCTTAGGTTCCTTCCCGTAACTTCCAATACTACTGGCTTGAGCGATTAAAGGCCAATTTTTGGTCTCTTCCGGAGGAATACAACAGTGCTGCCTCAAAAGAGACCCCACGCGAGTCATACCCCAGTCGAGGTCAAAATGTGACCCCGGTACTGATGCTACTAGGAATACGCTGTAATATAAAAGAGCAAATTTTGACTTTTGACATTTGACTTTGACGTTTGACATGTCACTTCACTTTGATATCGACTTCAACATTAAGAATTGACATCAACTTTGACTTTTGACTTCAACTTTGTCATTAGATATTACGTTTTCAACTCGTCCTTTGACTTTGACATTAAACTTTTCACTATGACGATAATATTTCACTTCAGCTTTAACATAACACTTTTTCATTTGACCCGTTGACTTTAGCTTTGACATTTATTTCGACAATTGAATTGAACATTGTCATTTGACTTTTCCTTTACTAAAATACATTTGAATTCGCTTCATTCGATCGTAGCGTGATGTTTTATAGCTTATAGCACTCAGGACCATTGTAGCTATCTATCAGTGAAATAATTTTGGCAATCCGACCAGTGGTTCCTAAGGTTACCCCCTACATACAAACTTGCAAACATACAAACTTACAAATTTTACCTCTTTATAATATTAGTACAGAAGTATAGATAAAGCTGGTGTTCCAAATAAATGAAATTAGACATAACAAGTTTAAGTGTGGGAGAGCCACCCTTCGGCACGAATGGGTCGGCTCGACCGGAGTGATACCACGGCCTCACTGAAAACCGGCGTGAAATAACCACTGTGTTGTGTTTCGCCGTGTGAGTGAGGTTACCGGAGGCCCAATCCTTCCCCTTCCCCAATCCCTAAATCTCCAAATCCCTAATCCCTAAAAGATCGGCAACGCACTCGTAACTCCTCCGTTGCGAGTGTCCATAGGCGGCGCTGATTGCTTACCATCAGGTAATACGTCTGCTCGTTTGCCGACCTATTACATAAAAAAATAATAACTTTAATATTTGACTTCAACTTTGAGTTTGACTCGAGACTTTAACTTTGACATTTGACTTTTGACATTAAAAACTGCCTAAAAACAGTGAGTTCAAGTGTTTAATGATAAAAATAAAATTTAAACTTACTTAATATGACTGAAATTGCATCTTTTCACTCGGTCCACGTAAAACGCTAGATTAGGTAGGTGATAATTATTTAAATATCTAAGCAGGCTTTTTTTGAACATCGTCGGGGATTCGCCTTCGTGGGGCATCGAATCCGCCGGCAATTCTGGACAGGACGGACTGAACCATAAGCTATAGGAAATAGAAATAAAGAAATTTAAATACATTAAAAACCATTGCCCCACACTAGGATAATCTCCTGTATCGTGGGTGCGTTTACAAACATACAATTTTATATACACATCACGCTGAGGCCCGGAACAACAAAGAGTTGTTCCGTGCGGGAATCGAGCCCGCGACACGTTGCGCGGCAACTAGTTGCCAAGCCACCGCGCCAACCGTGCAGTCTACATTTGTATAACAACTGAATACTTTTTAGTGAAATAATTTCAAGTGTGGGAGAGCCAAGCTTCGGCATGTATAGGTCGGCTCGACCGGAGTGATACCACGGCCTCACAGAAAACCGGCGTGAAACAACCCACAGCGTTGTGTTTCGCCATGTGAGTGAGGTTACCGGAGGCCCAATCCCGCCCCTTCCCCTATCCCTTCCCGATCCTTATATCCGCAACCCCTATCCCCAAAAGGCCGGCAACGCACTCGTAACTCCTTTGGTGTTGCGGGTGTCCATGAGCGGCGCTGATTGCTTACCATCAGGTAATCCGTCTGTTCACGGTGGTGGTTCACGTCGTGGACTAACGGAGAGAGGCCTTTGTTCCCTAGTGGACGTTTTCTGATTGATGATATTTTTTATTATGATATAAGTCGGCAAACGAGCCGACGGTTTACCTGATGTTAAGCAATCAGCGCCGCCTATGGACACCTGCCACAACAGAGGAGTTACGAGTGCGTTGCCGACCTTTGGGGATTAGGGATTTAGAGATTTAGGGATGGGGAAGGGAAGCATTGGTCCTCTAGTAACCTCACTCACACGGCGAAACACAACGCTGTGGTTATTTCACGCCGGTTTTCTATGAGGCCGTGGTATAACTACGGTCCAGCCGACCCATTCGTGATTTTCGTGACTCACCCTTGCGTCCGATTTTCCCAATCATCCAAGTACAAATTAGCTGTAGAAATTACGACTCGAAGGGAACCATCTTCATAGCACAGGATCATCATTTTTCTAAAACAATTATAAAATTATTAAGTACTACAGGTCGACCGTGGCTTCGCCCGCATGGATGTCGATTGTACACTATTTCAAGATTTTCTATAAAAAAAATCTCTCCATACAAACCTTCTCTGGACTTCCACGAATAATTCAAGACCAAAATTAGCCAAATCGGTAAAGGGATTGTTGAGTTATAACATTACAACTAAAAGTGGCAATGATTTATATATATATATACATAGTTTGGAATTGGAACTCGAGAAAGGACATAGGATAGTTTTAATACCAAAAATCTGCAGGAAGTCACTATTCCACGCGAATGGAGTCGCGAGCAAATGCTAGACCTAACTAAAACTAACTGCTGCTAACCTATATATAAAAAAGATGTTATTATAAATTATTCTATTATTTATCAATTATAAAGAGTAAATGTATGAGCAAGGATTAAAAACCTTTAAGACAAAACCATAGGAACTACAGAATTGATTGATGTTATATTTACGTGTGATGTTTCCCGAAAGGGGTCGACATGGTCACTTGGTGCGCAGTCACCTGTGGTTTTTTCTGACTAATATTCTTCAACTCAGAACATTCTTCTCCGTATAGAATTGTTAATTTTTTCTCACTGAAATATAAACACGTTATGTAAGTATAACAATAATGTATTAGTGTAATTGTATATGTCGTGGTGGCCCGGAGGTTAAGGAGCCCCCTTCTCATGCATGAGGGTGTGAGTTCAAAACCTGGCAAGTACTAATGTGACTATTTCCGAGTTATATGTACTTTCTATGATTATTTACCACCACTGACATACGGTGAAGGTAAACATCGTGAGGAAACCTGGACTTATAATTTCTAATTATAAGTTTGAAATCGCGCATTGAGCAAGCGTGGTGATTAATGCTCTAACCTTCTCCGTATGAGAAGAGGCCTTTGCTCAGCAGTGGGCACTTATAGGCTGATGATGACGATTAGTGTAATTGTAAAACGAATTGTGGGAGAGCCATGCTTCGGCACGAATGGGTCGGCTCGACCGGAGTGACACAGAAAACCGGCGGGAAACTACCACAGCGTTATGTTTCGCCGTGTGAGTGAGGTTACCGGAGACCCAATCCTTCCCCTCCCCAATCCCCAAATTTCCCAAATCCCCAAAAGGTCGGCAACGCACTCGTACCTCCTCTGTTGTTGCGGGTGTCCATGGGCGGCGCTGATTGCTTACCATCAGGTAATCCGTCTGACCTATGACATATAAAAAGGGACAAATAATATTAAAAAAGGCTTACCTATATCCAGCAAAGTAATACTGCGCCAAGAGCCATCCAATTTCCACCATAAAATTGATTTGTAGAGAGCATTTTAGTTCACCCAAGCTCCTATCTAGGATTTCTAGAAAAAAATAAATCTTATATATAAAATTGGTCCTAGGTCAAAAATAAATTAATTCGACGTTTCAATTTCAATACAATAAAATATTGAAAAATAACTATACTTTTATTCATCGATCGATCGATAAACTAAAAGTTTTAGATTGTTTTAGCTAATTATTTAGAAATAAGTACCTAAGCTATTTGACGCAAAAATGTTATGACGTCATAACTCAGTTTTTAATAAAAATTTCATAGAAAGGTATCGTTTTTGACATTTGGATAAAAGTATTGAATTTGACTAGTTGGAAACTACCGTATTCTCGGGTCACAGTTTTCGTTGCCACACTCCTCTGAAACGGCTTGACCGATATTGATGAAATTTTTGTGCTTATCCGGTATCTATGACAATCGGCCAACATGTATTGTTCATCCCCCTAAATGGTAGGGGTAGTTCACCTCAAATTTTTTTTTTATTTTTTAGACTAACAGACGGTTTCCGAAAGTCCGATCAATGTTAAAATCAATTTAATCTCTTGTCAAGTCATCTGATTGGTTGACTGAATTATCAACAACCAATCAGATGACTTGACAAGAGATTCAACAGGAGATTAGTTAATTTTAGCGTTGACAAGCCTTTCAGAAACCGGGTGTTAATTTTTAATTTATATTTTTCTATGATACAACATATAAAAATACATACAATCCTCAATTTTCACCCTTCTACGATCAACCCTTATTTTTGAATAGCCATTTTAGTAATTTAATCATTTTTCCTCTCAGTACAGGTGTCACTTCTGACTAGGGTTGCCACCCGTACTTTATAATAAAGTATTGTACTCTATTACATATAATTGTACTCTATACTTTATGAGAACAATCAAGTACACGAAAATACTTTATTTTGTATGTATTGATTTTTTGGGATTTTGAAAAGTCTGTGATGAACAGCGAGATGAAGAGATAAAAGAAACAAAGCGTCTCTGAATTTAATAAAGACTGTAAAGATGTTTTAGTAGAGATACTTATTTAATGCAAACTGCAAAAAGCAATAAAAAATATGTTTTGAAATATAAAAATAAAGAAAAATAAATTGTACTTTATCTTGATCCCATGTACTTTTTTTTCTTACCTATAATAACCAATGTACTTTATTAACTATAAAAAAAGGTGGTAACCCTACTTCTGACCCAGTAATTGCGACCGTGCGAAGGGACGGGCGGCTAATACAATATAACAATATAAATAAATATTACTTTATAATTATAAACACAGAAAAGCGGCGTGAAACAACCACAGCGTTGTTGTGGTTACCGGAGGCCCAATCCTTTTTGACCTCCCTAAATCTCCGAACCCTAATCCCCAAAAGGAGGGCAACGCTCAAAACCTCAAAACTCCTCTAGTTTTGGCGGCGGTAACTGTGGGAGAGGCCAGAGGCCCAATCCTTCTTACTATCCTCCAGGCCCTCCCTAATCCCTAAATCTCCGAAACCCTAATCCCCAAAAGATCGGCAAAGCACTCGTAACTCCTCCGTGCCGATTGCTTACTATCAGGTAATCCGTCTGCTCGTTTGCCGACCTAACAAATAAAGTTAAAAACTCACCTAGAAATGTAATGGAATATGGCTGGTTGTGTGTTTCTTTTGCATCTTTGATAGTTGTATAGAACACGTAGTAGGGGGCGCTGGCGTCGTGTTTGGCGGCCATATTGCCTTTGGGGCGGACCACAGATAAATAATCTTCGGCGCGACGGGTAGGTGGCACTATGGGGCGATAGTCACTGTCTGAAAAATAAAAAAAAATAATATAAAAAAATCTACCTAGCGACCCGTCCCAGCTTCGCACGGATACAATGCTGATACTAAATTTCTCCACTATTTAATGGATGTTATTATACATATAAACCTTCCTATTCAATCAATCTATCTATTAAAAAACCGCATCAAAATCCGTTGCGTAGTTTTGAAGATTGAAGCATACATAGGGATATAGGGACAGAGAAAGCGACTTTGTTTTATACTATGTAGTGATAATGATATCTTCATTATAATATAAATTCAATTTGCACTTCAGTCTAAGTAGCACGGGCCGGCTATGCTAACACCAAAAATATACTGCTGAATATACACTGATACTGCTGAACCAAACGACCAAACAATTTAGATTTAAAATATTAATAGTTTTAGAAATGGGATGGTTTCTTCGTCAGTAAAAGACAGACACTAGGTAGAGGAGCTCCTTAGCGGTTCTGATAATAAAACTGGAGGCGAACCGCTTCGTGTGTGTGGGTGGGATATCCGCCATGAAGCGATGACGTTTTGCCGATTGTCTGGTGGTACAATGGTAGAAAAGACTAGGGGGAAAAGTCGTGTAGCTCTCCCGAAGATAAGCTGCACGGTTGGCGCGGTGGCTGGGCAACTGGCTTTTGAATGACTCTTTGTGTGATCCACAAATTGTTGTTCCGTAAGTCTGGGTGTGATGTGTATGTCATATTGTATGTTTATCAACGCACCCACGACACAGGAGAAAATAACAGTGTGGAACAACATTCTATAAAAAAAGCCATACTTCGGCACGAATGTATCGGCTCGACCGGAGTAATACCACGGCCTCACAGAAAACCGGCGTGAAACAACCACAGCGTTGTGTTTCGCCGGGTGAGTGAGGTTAGCGGAAGCCCAATCTCTCCCAATCCTTAACCCCTAAAGGTCGGCAACGCACTCGTAACTCCTCTGTTATAGCGGCTGTCAGTATGCGACACTGATTGCTTACCATCAGGTAATCCGTCTGCTCGTTTTTCTAACCTATTACATATACAAAAGAATTTTTCCATACCTTTAACACTTTCTTTACTGCTAGAAGTATTCTGACTCCCTCCTTCTCTGCTTCTAGAAGATTGAGAAGAATTATAACTGCATTCCCCACTCCTGCTACTTGACGGTGTGGATCCTATATTCCTGCTAGAAGGAGACCTGTCCTTCTGTTTCGCTTCTTTTAATTTCTCTTCTTTTTTTCTATCTTCTGTGTTGTTCTGTGTGGTTTCTGTACTGTAAAAATGATATATGAAAGATGAAGTGTGGTAAAATTTAAAACCTTTTAGATATTTTTGTGAGAAATGTCATCTTACTAATTAATATAATTTAAAAGCGAAAGTTACGATGTTTGGATGTTTGTTACTCAATCACGCTAAAACTGCTGGACGGATCTGGATGAAATTTGGCACAGGCATATTTGATACACTCCGGAATAGGACGTAGGCTACTTTTTATCAACGTACCACGCGGGCGAAGCCGCGGGCGGAAGCTAGTAAAATATAAGTTTCTTTTAAATTTTTATGGAATTCATTTCAACTTGCACACTTATTGTAAAAAAATTTTGAAACTACGTTAACATTGTATGATTGAGATTACTGGACGCCCCCCTCCCACTTCCCATCCTTAAACAACAAACAACTGCTATGAAAGGAACGACAAAATTATATTCTTTTTTTATGTAATAGGTCGGCAAACGAGCAGACGGATTACCTGATGGTAAGCAATCAACGCCGCCCATAGACACCCGCAACGGAGGAGTTACGAGTGCGTTGCTTACTTTTAGGGATTAGGGTTTTGGAGTTTTAGGGGTTGGGCGACATTCCGGGCGTCGGGGATCGAGAGATGATCTCCGGCCACCGTAAGCGAGGGTCTGCGGACGGCGAGTAAGGGTAGCTCGCCGCCCGACCAGAACCAGGCCCGAGCGTACGGCGCGTAGCGTTCCGCGCGCGCCTCAAAGAGCCAATAGACCACCACAGACGGGGCCCTATAGGGCTGATGTTCAGCCGGGGTTGCGGGGTAAGCGCAATGAGGCACCGCGACCTCGGCCCAGAGCAGGAGAAGGAACGGGGGGCTTTAGTCAGAGAGTCTGACACTCTGTCTCGCCTTAGCCTGGACAGGAGAAGCCATTAGACGATTTTGCCCGGACAAAAAAAAACGGCGAAACACAACGCTGTGGTTGTTTAACGCCGAGTGTAAAGGTTCACATACCTGCTACCAGCTTCACTGTCAAAATTCCTGCCGTATGCGTAAATCTGTTTGTGGACCATCATCTTCAACTGGTCCACATACATCTGTCTCTGCCCGGACAGCTTTGACGGGATCGGAAACTCTCCGGTACCAGTGTACGAATCTAATATTGATTCCACTGAAAAATAATATTAATTTACTATATAATTTTTTTTTATGTAATAGGTAGGCAAACGAGCAGACGGATTACCTGATGGTAAGCAATCAGCGCCGCCCATGGACACCCGCAACGGAGGAGTTACGAGTGCGTTGCCGACCTTTTAGGGATTAGGGATTTGGAGATATAGGGATTGAGAAGGGATTGGGGAAGGGAAAGGATCGGGTCTCCGGTAACCTCACTCACACGGCGAAACACAACGCAGTGGTTGTTTCACGCCGGTTTTCTGTGAGGCCGTGGTATCACTCCGGTCGAGCTGACCCATTCGTGCCGAAGCATGGCTCTCCCACACTTGAAGCTACTCTTATTGATGAGCAGCGTGCGTGTCACGGCCTCACAGAAAACCGGCGTCAAAAAACACTTACGTTGTGTTTCGCCGTGTGAGTGAAGTTACCAGAGGCCCGAATCTTCCCACCTTCCCCATCCTCAATCCTCAAATCCCCTTTTCATAAATCCCTAATAAGCCACAAGAGGCCGGCAAAGGATTTTTAGTAACTCCTGTGGTACTACGCGTGTCCATGGGCGGCGCTGATTGCTTACCATCAGGTAATATGTCTGCTTGTTTGCCTACCAATGAAATAAAAAAGAACTTATCTCTGCATTGTTCTCACATAAGGGTACAGTAATGTACAGTAACTGTTAAACAATAAAAAAGTGTGACGATGGAGTTTCTTGCTCATTCTTCTCCATTCGAATCTACAATTTGGAACCAGCACCTAGCTTCACTGACGAACAGACTGACACCCCCTGTTTCCGAAAGGCCGATCAATGTTAAAATCAATTTAATCTCTTGTCAAGTCATCTGATTGGTTGACTGAATTATTAACAACCAATCAGATGACTTGACAAAAGATTTTTTTTGATTAGTTAATTTTAACGTTGACTAGCCTTTCAGAAACCGGCTGACAGACTACTATTCTATTTTGAAGTTTCAAAAGTACCTATTTATGGTTTAGTTGAAGTAAATGATTTTGACTTTGACTTTCACTGTGTTAGATATGGATTGGAGAAATAAAAGGGTTTCAATTAATTGTAAAAGTTTCAGATTGGCATTGCCCAACCAGGATTAGGGTCAAATTGTAATAATTTACTGCTTTCCAGCTAGGAATGGTACTTGCAACTTCATTGTGCTTGCGACCACAACCTGTGCAACCGGGTTGAAACATCAAGCCTTCCATTCCAGGGTATTTAAATTATTAGTTTTCCTGTTATTACCTGCTCTGTTGTACAGATTATTATGGAGCAGGAGTTCTTAATGGAAAGGTTTTAGTTAGAAAGAGTTTTGACACCCTCTCGTCAGACCCAGGGCAGTTTGTATGACATAGAAGCAAGTTTTAGTCAGCCAGGGCAATAAGAGACCGGATAAAGACTACAGATTATTTATGGTTCTTTTTCCTCTTAAAAAAAAAAAAAAGTTGCCCCACATTAGGATTTTCTCCTGTGTCGTGGGTGCGTACAACAATCTGTGGATCACACAAAGAGTTGTTCCGTGCGGGAATCGAACCCGCGACACGTTGCGTGGCAGCCAGTTGCCGAGCCACCGCGTCAACCGTGCAGACTTAATCGTCGGATTCACAGAAAAGGCAAACAGTTTAGCATTTATGGTGATGCTTGAGCTTGAAACTACAGGTTCCAAACCTAACAAATATCAATGTGACTCTCTAAGTTATCTGTGCTTTCTCCCCTTTATTATAAAAAAGATTTTTCTAAGGTCTAGTTTTAAACCATTGAGTCAGGTTTTGTATATTGAATCCTATTCTCACTTACATTCAATTTGAAATACATAAACTGGCTCAATGGTTTAGACCTAGGCTAAAGAAAAGGCTTGTTTAGTAATAAGGCTGTCTTACTTTATTTAGAGCAGATTTTTCAATAGTCAGATAAATGTTATCTGAGGAATAAAATGTTGCTGTCACTGTTTTATACAAAGCCATGCGTATAAATGTGGATGGATGGAGAGGGAGAGGAAGACCAAAGAAAATATGGGCGGATTGTGTGAGATATGGAAGACAGAGGAGTTAGTGATAGTGTGACGAGTGACAGGACAGAATGGAAGAAAAAAACATATTGCGCCGACCCCAAATAAAACGAGACAAGGGCAGGAAGACGATGTCTAATACAAACATTCTGACGTGACAGCATCATAATAATTCCACAGATAACTTTTATCTAACCATTGACAAATCAGCCCTTAGACCCTTATAGTTTTTATGTTAACATTTCCTCCTATAAATCACTAATCCACATTGAGGAAGCATGGTGATTGATGCTCAATCCTTCTTCTTGTGAGAAGATGCCTTTGCTCAGCAGTAAACACTTAAAGGCTGATATGATGATGATGAAAATAAATGTAAATACAAAATTCCAGCTCAATGTCTTAAAGGCATCTGCTTCTTCCTAGATTCCGCTTCTCAAACATTTATACATAGACACAAACCAAGTTAAATATAGGTTTCTAACTTTAATAAAAACTTCGTTTCCATATGTCATAACGAAGTATGTTTTGAATAATTTTTACTTACAATGAGCATGGCTATACTCTCTGAAGTGTATAGGATTTAGTCTGAAGCATTTCTCAGCGTACGGACATTCAGATTTCGGCCTTTTTGCATTAATACCGCTATCTGTAATAAAAGATAAGTTTGTAACAAAATTATAACGTTTAACATGAAAATATTAAGAAGAATCTGATCAAAAATAACTTATCTGTACCTTCCATGTTATCTCTCCGTTTGTTCGGTGTACTCATATCGGTATTTTGAGTTAGTTTTAATACCTTATTTTCAAAATAAAGTCGTCAAAATAGGTAAGTTTTACGATAACTTTCAAATTCTATTTGACAATTTGGGTTTAGGTGATGACAGAAGCATGCTTTTGACGTTAAATAATGTGTTTAGAACTGTGCCAAGGGTCGATTGTATCGATGTAATAAATAACGACAAAATTCGGTTTTACTTCTTGCATTTTAGAATACTTGGAAAATCTATTTTCTTTTAAGTGTTCTATTTCTGTTGTAAAGTTATTACCTGTGTCGGGTTATATTAGTAAAAATTAAAAAATAAACCTATACATTTTCTAAATATGAAATAGATATTTTTAAATTATCTACATCGATACGGTATTTCATCGGTTTTCCCTTTTCGCTGCTCGAATCTTGTTTTAATCGATATAACAATACATCCCTGATAGCCGGCTTTTCACAAATTACTTTATTTAGGTACGACAAAAATAAAAAATAATCTGCGATTACAGCTTTCAATTAATTTTTCTGATTAATAACTCAGGTAAGACTTGTTTGTTTCTCAAAATAGGTACCTGAATTCAGGAAACAAGAATTTATTTTCTAAATATTATCTCCATTGATTTTCTTTTGTTTCCGTATTTATAGGTACTTACAGCAAAAATATACATGATTTTATATTTGCGCGATGTCTCTCAAGTTCAATGATCTCTTATTAATTCTAAATACGAAAATTTCGAAACACACGATGTTTATGTAGATATAACGGATGCATAAAAATGTCTCAAATCATAGGTAGTCAGCATTTTATAATTAATTAATTGAAACTAACTTATAAAGTTTGATAAACACCCTTTCATAAAATATTCTATAATTATGGGTTCTGTCAACTGAATTCTTGAATACTTTAGTAGTTTTAATAAAACTAATACAAAATTGACATACCATAAGTGACTTGTATTAAAAAAAAATATAAAATACACATAACAAACGCTAATGCTATTCAATTAAATACTACTAGATACTTGCTGTTTCTTTTTTATTATAAATAGTTAAAAATGCTGTACCGGGTAAGTTTGGGTTACTTTGACCCTGCGGGGTAACTTTGATCCAAACCCCTTAACCAAAAATAACTGACAACCAAAAGTATATTTCGAAAATTTGGATCAAAGTTACCACCCAGGGTCAAAGTAACCCAAACTTACGGTACTTATAGTGAGAAAAGAGTCAGATATTTTAGTTTAGATTTTTCATATTTAAAAACTGATTTAACGCCTCAAACTATAGATAAACTCTCATATTTATAACAGAATCTAATAACCTATTATTATCAAGAAAACATTGTAATTACTGATCCATAGACCTATTAACACACCGCTCTAGACACAGTTAAAAAAAATTAAATAACATAAAATGTTTCTTCTTTCAGTTAAAATGATAAATAACGAAAACTATGCAACGTGCCCCTATGATGCATCACACCGAGTAGCCCGTTCCAGGCTCCAGCACCATCTAATCAAATGTCAGAAGAACTATCCTCCTTTGGAAATATGTCCGTTCAACGCTACCCATCGTTACCCAGCCCATTTGATGAAAGATCACTATAAAACATGTCCGAATAAGATAGAAAAGGAACAAACGCTTGTTTTAACCAGCAATAATGGTACCGTTGGAGCAAAACGCACTCCGATACAGCTGATGCAGAAGGATTATCTACCAGAGCAGGATCCGGAGAATGAATGCTGGGATGATTAAGTTAGTTTTATATTATATTGTTTATATTTCGTTTGTAGAGGTCCTTGTGGTATGCAGAAGTATGTGAATGTCTTCTAGACGTCCATCTATGTTGAATTTACATTCAAGTTGGATTTATATTTACTTGCAAAATGTAGTTGAGTTTCCGACATTGATATGTCACATAATAATATGAATGAGTGCTAAGTTTTATTAAAACGAATTCAGTGGAAACCCATGATTCCAGAATTGATTCCTGATTTCCATTTTGTTTTGTGTAGGTACTTAATCAGTAAAATATTTTTTTTTTATTTCAAGTTTCACAATTTGGGCTCTCTACAAATAGATCTGCCAAAAGTTTTAGTTCTTAAGAATATATTAAGTAATTATAAGTGCTTAATTATAATGATTTATGTGTCGCAAAATGTCGTTGAAATGACAAAAAAAAATTGGTTTTAGAAACCTTTAATTTAAATAAGTAACTGTAAAATGGAGTGAATAAAATTCGAATAGGTACTAGGAAAATTCACCGATATATCCATTCTCCCCTTTCATAGTATATCTATCAAATTCTAACCACCCCATTTTACGGCAGGTATCTTGTTACCTAAATAGTTTTAAGTTGTCCGTCTGTTGGTTAAGACCTCAGATTATAAAACAAAAGGCAAATAGTCCATGCAAAACACTAAAGTGAAGCCACCAAAGCCAATACAAACAAATTCATAAGCGAATACAAACTCGAGTCAGTACGTCACGAAGCGTCGCAGCGTTAGTACCTCACAGATAATAAATATATTTATATTTTTGAGAATAACGCCGACTTGTATTATTAAGAATTGAATTTTTTTCGCAAGAATAACAATGATAGAAGATGAAGTGTCTTTTCATAGATAAATATTGATTATTAATTTGAGTTGACCGTTATTCGAAGCATATTTAATTGAGAAAATAGGCACTACGTTTCCCGCTTTCACATTTCTATTATACAGCCATCTCTTTCTAGAACCTCACTTCCATACATTTCTAGGCAATGATGTATAAAACTAATACGTCATTGTTTCTAGGTCCATCTGCCATTTCGTTTTATAATCTGAGGTTTACACGTAGATTTTTTGTAATTGGAATAAGTTTTATTTTAGTGTCTGTTCTTTATATTAATATAAAACATTAGACTCGATTTTTTCTTTTCTCTATTTTATTTAGTAATGGACATTCGGTCACTATCACGCCTGGGGGTAAGCGATGATGCGACCTACGATGGAGCACGTCTACCCATAAGCAACCTATTCACTCGGGCCTTGAAGACACCCAGGTTATACCCTTCGGGGAACACAGACTCCGGCAAAGAATTCCACTCCTTAGCGGTTCTGATTATAAAACTGGAGGCGAACCGCTTCGTGTGTGTGGGTGGGATATCCACCATGAAGCGATGACGTTTTGCCGATTGTCTGGTAGTACGATGGTGGAAAGGACTAGGCGTGATTAAATCGTGCAGCTCTTCCGAACATTCTTCAAAATGCATCCAGAATGCTTGCAATTTAGCGCTTGTGGTAGAGGCTTTGATATCAGGCCTCCACTAGCACATCGTCGTTGAAAAGCCTCTTCGCACGCCTCCTCCCAAATTGATACGCTCTTTGCCCCAAAATAGAATTAGGCTGGACCCGTACCTATATGTTGCTGCTCCGGTGGCCATGTGCGAAGGCATGCGCCTTCGTACAAGGTCATCATTGTGAACGAATTTTTGACCTAACACTCAACAAATACCATCGAGCAGCCACCATATTCGCCAGATACGGGTCCAGCCGAATTCTATCTTTTTCCTGAACTCAAATTACCACTTCATGACACCCGTTTACAATCAGCAGAAGACAAAGGAGAATATCGTAATGCATAGGTAATATCTTTTAACCATTATTCTCTTTGCTCTTCAGGTATAATGAGTTTTGATAATAAAGTAGGCGGAGGAAATTTTATATTTCCCACGGTACACCCAGGTGAACCAAGGTGAACAGTAGGAAAAAAAAACTTCCCGCTGCACACCTTGGTGGTCTCACAAGGTGTACGGTGGGCAAAGAGCGAATTGATAAATCTCTTTTTGACCTATCCATTATCAGTCTATTAGTATTACAGTTCTCACACGGAGAAAATTTGAGCACGCTTGCTCAAGGAGGATTGGCGATTTCAAACCTTTTAATTAGAAATTATAAGTTTAGGTTTTCTCACGATGTTTTCCTTTTGTAGCGTAGTGTTATGCGCATATTTTTTATGAAAGTCAATTTCTAGGATTGCGCGTGAATCAAGCGTTTTTGTTTTTATCATACGAGGGTCAAACTGAAAGTTCATAGAAAATCTAAAACTAATTATATTAGCCAGTTACTTATTAGTTTTATTAAGTATATCTTTTCAAAATATTGTCCATTCACATCAATACACCGCTGCATGCGATGGAACCATTGGGAAAAGCACTTTGCCCACTCGTCCTTAGGGGTCTCATCAATGGCATCGCGATACGCAGCCACCGCTTCTTCAGCTTTCATAAACCGCTTTCCTTTAAGTTTTTCTTTAATTTTTGAAAATAAATACAAATCACAAGGCGCGATGTCGCGGCTATACGGCGGGTAAACCAGTCATTCAACGTTTGATGTCGCCAAATAGTTGATCGTTCGCTTGGCGGTGTGCGACGAGGCGTTGTCGTGGTGCAGGAGGATCCTACTGCGAGGTTGTTTCTCTAGAACTTATTCAAGACAAGTGGTAAACAATTGGTAATGTACCATTCTGCAGAAACATTTCAAAGTTTTTTGATCCTCTAACACAATTGTTGCGAAATGACCTTCCAAAGAACGAGGCTACCATTTTTTTCCTGCACTTCGATTTCTCTTCACTTTAGTTGGCAACTCCTAGAAAAGAAACACCCACTGAGCAGATTGTCTTTTGGTTTCAGGATCATAACTGACAGTAAAACCCAGCTTTCGTCACCTGGGGTGTGATTCTGTAAGACTTCATTCTAAACTTCGAATCTGAATCCGCCGTGAGTAGCAGTACACTAGCGCTACACTTGCGACTTGAACTAAATTGACCGCAACATATTGATAGATAAAGTATGAGATGAAGTAAAAAGTGGCATTCTAAAATTTAAATACCCCGTCACTTTGACGCTCACTTCGCACTCGAACAAGATTCAAAATCAAACAAATTTTATAGAATCGACGTGCTGGTTAGTATGTCGAAATGACAACGAAGTCATAAAAAAAAATCATTGCACGAAAATTTTCTCGTGTTACCTATATTAATGTTGACGTGACATAGACAATTTTTAATTTTCAAATGACAAATGAATGCAATATTTTACTCAGTAATATTGGCTAACACCCGGTTTCTGAAAGGCTTGTCAACGCTAAAATTAACTAATCTCCTGTTAAATCTCTTGTCAAGTCATCTGATTGGTCGTTGATAATTCAGTCCAAAGAGTATGTAACCACTACGTTTAATTCAGTCAACCAATCAGATGACTTGACAAGAGATTAAATTGATTTTAACATTGATCGGCCTTTCGGAAACCGGGTGTAAGAGTTCTATTTTCAAATTTTAGAATTATTTTTTTATTATATTGTTTATAAGTGGCCAGTCTAAGAACTTTCAGTTTGACCCTTGTAATAAGACGGGGTTGCGGGTCGAGTACTATAGGTAATGTTTCACGGGGCCGGCCTGAGGGTGCAGTTTCATTGAGGCGGAGCGGAGAAGAGCTGTGCCGCGATTCACCAATCACATGGCTTGAAATCCACATAATGATGGATAAAGCAGGAAAAAAACTGAATGGTTTTTAATCATTAGGAGTCTGACACCCCGCCCGGTGTGCGCTGGGAGGGAGAAGTCATTTAATGATTTCACCCCCTCAAAAAAGGGGATAGTTTGTATCTTGAGTCGCCCAAATAACCTTCATATTAATCTAATTCTATACTTCTATACTAATATTAACCTAAAGAGGTAAAATTTGTAAGTTTTTATGTAGGGGGTAATCTTCGGAACCGCTGGTCGGATGCTATAGGCTATAAAACTTCACGCTACAATCAAATGGAGCCGACTGAGCAGCGAGTGAAACCCCGCGGGCGTAGCTAGTTAAGTACTTATTTATTATATATTCGTTTTTCATTTATTTATCTGAAGTCTAATGTTTATAAACGTGGCTCGCATAACTGTTACTTTCCGCCCAACCCTTTGAAGGCTAAAAAGCAGAGGAGTTACGAGTGCGTTGCCCACCTTTTGGGAGATTTAGGGATTGGGGAAGGCAAGTATTGGGCATCCGGTAACCTCACTCACACGGCGAAACAATGCTGTGGTTGTTTCACGCCGATTTTCTGTGAAGTCGTGGTATCACTCCGGTCGAGCCGACCCATTCGTGCCAATTCGTGCAAAGTTAGTATGTGTAATTTTGACAAAAAGTATAATAAAATGGGCTACAATGGGCAAAGCTTATCGATGACTAAAACGTTGATAATAAATTATCTACATTTCCGATAATATTAGATAGCAGAGCTGAAACGAAAATATTTAGTGCTTTCCTATAAGCCAATCAAATAACTGCATAATACGTAATTATCTATACCTAATTTCATTTTCAATTTATTAAGTAGTTTTTTACACTTTATTCCAAGTGACATTTCGTTGACACATTTATTTTTTTAAGTTATTTTTTTTATTCGGTATTCGCGTTTTGTTTTTTCGTTAAGTACGTGTTGTTCGATAAGTATTCGTTATTACAAAAATACTTTTGTAGATAATTGGATTGAAGTTTTATCGGATTTTTAGATTAATATAATATATTTTTGTTACACAAGTGGTGTGGTGATAATTCTAATGAATGAGTAAACTGTTATTTTATGTGAAAGATGTTAATTTTGGGGCTTAAGGCGTAATAATACCTATTAAATTGTAAGTACCTATTTAAGTTTTTATTAGAATAAGGAGGCATATACATAAGTAGACTACTTATCAACTGAACGTCATCGACGATCATCGACAGTCATGATTAATACTGGTTGGCTGGGATACCGGCTACCGTGCGACGTGTCGCGGGTTCGATTTCCGTACGGAACAATATTATAGATGATCCATAAAATGTTGATCTCTCAGTCTAGGTGTGTCAGTATGATGTGTATTGGAAATACAGTTTAAGTACCCACCAGACAAGAGAAAATCCTACTATAGTGAACCGTTTATCTTTTTAAATGAATCATATCTTTTTATTGTATGGAAATCCTACTAATATTATAAACGTGAAAGCAAGCACAAATAAGCACGAAACGATGTTACTCTCTCACATAGACTAAAAAAAAAACTACTGAAC